TATATAATATTCCATTATCATAATATATTATATAGTTACTATTATATAATATGTTTACTATTTTGAATGGAGGCTGAGATTGGGTAGAGGCAGGGCAGCCGACCCGGGACCTGAAAGCCCCAAGCTCAATCCCCAGCCATCCCCACATGTCATAGTGTCTCTAAGCAAGAAACCCAATTCCCAATTGCTCTCCAGTCACCCACATAGCTGCCCCACCTGGGTCAATCCCAGGTGCAATGGCCAAATGCAGAGAACCAATTTCGCCATTGTATGGGAACATACAATGATGATAACACATAGCACTTTATTTTACTTAATTGAAAATAACGGGGTTTCATTTTTTCTGCTTCTTTTAACCCCTGAGTCCCTTTACCTTTCTGACAGTTAATGTTCCTCAGAGGAAAAATCAACCACCTTATTTAACTGCTTAAAAAATAATTTTCCCCCTCAATAAATGAGTGTCTTTTAGGGCTATCATTGCCTGAAATTAAAATATCAAATTTAATTTGCTTTGATTGAATTTTAACTAGGGCAGCACGGTGGCACAACTGGTAGAGCTGCTGCCTCTCAGTGAGCAGGTCCTTGGTTCAAACCCCGGTCCAGGGGCCTTTCTGGGTGGAGTTTGCATGTTCTCTCCGTGCATGCGTGGGTTTTCTCCGGGTACTCCGGTTTCCTCCCACAGACCAACAACATGCATGTTAGGCTGATTGGTAACTCTAAATTGTCCCTAGGTGTGAGTGAGAGAGTGAATAGTTGTTTGTCTCATTTGTCTCTATGTGTCCCTGTGATGGACTTGCGACCCATCCAGGGTGTACCCCGCCCTTGCACAGTGATTGCTGGACATGAGCACCGGCGACCCCCGTGACCCAAAAATGGCATAAGCGGGTAAAGATAATGGATGGATGGATAGTATGCCTAAAATGATTTTTTTTTAAACAATGTTTGTTTGTTGTTGTTCTTTTATTCCTGCCCACTGGACATTTCAGATTCAGTAGATCTAAAATGAGACCTTGTTTTTGATCAAACTTAGTCATGTCTCTGTGTGATTGGACATGGAGAAAAAAATGCTAGTTTCTAAATTGTTTTATTGCTTTTACTGACCCAGATATATGAGCAAGCTGCAGTACCATGGTGCACTTGCTAAAGATGTCCTGCTTTGGGCGAAACCAATGGCAATCAGCTATTGTTAGCTGTGGAAAGTTCGATTCTGCAGCCTGCATGTATGTGAAAAAGCTTTTTTAGATTAAATGCTTACTTGTGTACATTACAAGTGAGTTTTTTCTCTTTACATCCAAACTAAAACATTTTTACAGATGGGATGAGAGGCTGATAGAAGGTTCTGCTTCAAGGGTGAGTTGATTTATTTTCTCTGTAAACTTTTATAGGGCTCTCAAATGTCAAAACAGTGCTGAGCTAGAATAAAAATAAAATGTATAGAGGGACAGAGGTAAGAAGAAAATACATTACTGAGAGGAATGCATTATTTTATATGATCCTATGGGGTTAAAATGGGTATTTACAGTGCATATTATTGTGGACATTTTTTTCCCTCAAGACTCTGAGAGTGTAATAAAATTACTGTGAGGTTATGAGAGGATTAGAAAAAATACTGATAAAATAAAAAAGTAGATAGATTTTTAGTTTTGTCAGAAAAACATAATGTTTATTGACTGCACCAAAATAAAAAATAAAAACACAGACAAAAATAAATGTGTGACTGATTTTTTTCCCCCATAAGGCCTTCCCAGGGTCAAGGGAACTAAACATTTCCACCAAATCCTTGCAGTTTAAAGATGCTTTTATTGTAACAGTGTTTTTGATTTGGACAAGGATGATCTGTCTGCTTTTGCATATCCAGGTTTGGTGGTCAGGTTTTCCTGCAGTTTGAAAGAGCTCATGGCCAGAGTGCTTTTTTTTTTGGATCTTCTTCACTAAGAGGCTAAACAAGAATAGACTCGCAAACCAGGAGGTTACTGAAATTGTTTCTGCAGAGGAAAGAGGAGCTTGAAGGTGAAGAAAGTGGAGCAGAGGAAGGGAAAGGAAGGAGGGTTTAGTTTCAGAATGTTGTGTGTGTGTGTGTGTGTTGGGAGGGGGGGGGGGGGGGGGGGGGGGGTTGAGTGCAAACACACTTTGCACTTAAAGCTGTTTTCTTAACTCCATGCATGGACTGTGCATTATCTCTAGCCCCATGATTACTCAGCAACCCTAAAGGCCGAGACCTGACCTGAGAGCATGATCCCTGAGAAGAGAGGGGGGAGGAGGAAGAGGGCCGACAACGAGGAAGCTGAGCAGATGCCGGGGTGATTAAAGCGACCTGGGAATGTGACAAATGCGATCAATCTGTCAAAGCATCCCTGAGGTCATAATATTACCTCCAATATATACTGTGATGCCTGCTGGGCCTTCAGAAGAGATAAAATGGAAAGAGAGGAAAGGTTTGCTCTTTCCCCATCCCTAACATCACTGCATCTTCTGCATCACACCCTGCCTCCCTCCTTCAGTCTCTAACATGCCCTATAATTGTCCATTTCCCCTTCCATTGTCTTTTCAGTTCCACCTCCTCTACTTGTTCTCTATCTCCTCTCTTTTTTCACCTTCCTTTACTCCATATTTCATCTCATCTGAGTCTGGTGAAAGAAAACTAAGGTTACAGGTGGAGGACAGAGAAAGAGGGTTTGTATAAACTAGATACTGTAAGAGGAGTTGGCATCAGCCTTTCCAGGTTCAGGGCTCCCAGCCTAAGCCACTGAAGAGCTAGAATAACACAAATGAAAACATCCTGCTCATCACGCCTCACAGGAGCTGTCTGGATTCTTCTGAAGGAAGTGGAGAAAGCTGCTAAATAAGGTTTGTCTGAGGACATGTTGCGAGCCAAATGTGAAAATGAAAACCTTTTCAAGAGTGAGAAAAAGAAAATTGACCAGATTTAAAAATACTCACCATTCTCTAAGATTACCATTTAGGTACTTATTGCAAAGTATGAAATCAGATCTCGTGCAGTTTAAAGCTCACAACTCCAAATGCTCCTGTTTTGCACTGAGAAAGCTTCCCGACTGGAAAGCAAAACATCTTCAAACTCAGCTAGGTCCTTTATAAACCACGTGTGTATGAGTCATATGATTAACTACATTAGACTGACCATAGTCTGTGAAGATAAACAAATATGATGGACTCCAACAAGCGTAGAATCTCAGAGAAGACATTTAGGCAGAATAAATAGTATTAGTTTGGTACTTTTTTTCACAAACACCTCCTTTCTCTGTGTGACACTAGGGGTCTGGGATGGAGGGGGAGGGGGGCACATTGTTGGGGTCTGGGCTGTGGGTGGGCTTTGGGCCTTGGGGGCGGTCAGTGATGGGGCCGGTGCTTCGGTTCCTCCTGGGCTGTTCCGATTCTTTTAATCTAGGTTCCTGGTTGCGATGGCCGGCACTTTGACCAGGGTGGCTGCCGGCTTTCGGCGGGCGGTCGGCTATGGTAGTGAACGTGTGGTCATTGGTGGTGTAGGGCGGCGGTTGGGGG